CTCATTACACGAAACACGTTACACAAACACAGTTGGTGACAAAAAGCTCTGTACATTATATACATAAGCCAAATTATTAGAAATAAGTTCACATATTACATTTGTTTAAACCATTTTATTGACGCCGTACAGCAACATGCTCTCTCCGCTTTGCAGCCAGCGCAGAGCCAGGGGTTGCGCAATCCAAGGTGAGGCAGAGCTCGCTGCTGCCTCACCGGCATCGCTTCCAAGCATTTGAATGGGAAAATAAGAAAATTCAGCGATTTTGAACAAATAAAAATTGTAATTGGTGAAGCTACATGAAAAATGAATATTTTTTAGTACAAACCACCGGATGAATATAACAATTTAAATTACTTTATGATTATATATTTTCTTTCTTTCCATGATGGCTGGTGAGGCACTGCCTCACCTGCCTCCCCTGACCGCACGTCACTGATACATACATACATACATACATACATACATGCACACATGCATATATACATTCATACATACATACATACAAACCTACGTACATACATACACACATACATGCAAACCTACATACATACATACACACATACATGCAAACCTACATACATACATACATACACACACATACATACACACATATATGCACACATACATGCACACATACATGCACACATACATACATACATAAATACCTACATACATACATACATACATACATACATACATACATACATACATACATTCATACACACACATACATGCAAACCTACATACATACATACATATAAATTTTTTATTAAAAAAAATATATACTTATTTATTTAATGCATGCATTAAACATTTAAATGTTGACATTTAAAAATATAGATATAGATCTTCTTACATACATACATACATACATACATACATACATACATACATACATACATACATACATACATACATACATACATACATACATACATACATACATACATACACACATACATGCAAACCTACATACATACATATATATATATATATATATATATATATATATATATATATATATATATATATATATATATATATATATATATATATATATATATTTTATTGAAATAATATATATACTTATTTATTTAATGCATGCATTAAACATTTAATTGTTGACATTTAAAAATATAGATGTTTTGAGTTTTTAATTTATAAAATATTCGGCACATTTGGCTGTACCTGCCCCAGTCCCATTTCAACCCATTTTTAGATTCTTACTTGTGTGATTTGTACTTGTGAGACATGTTTAAATTGGACCACAAAATGTTCTGTTCAAAATCTTTCTCAAGCAGTTAAGGCTGTGCAGAAGGATTGTCTTTTTATTCACTTCCATCGCATCATTGTTGCACCAGCGTATGCTACATGTAGTCACGTCAGTCGAATTCAAAACCTCTTAGAAATATTCATTGGTCCGTTCTTAATTATATCTTCATCTAGCAAAAATAGGGAATAGACCCATGATGGAAACTGTGAAAAACTGAAAGTCAGAGCGCTTCTAAGCTATGACCGCCTCCTCAGGCTTCTGGAGGTGAGGTTGATCTAAAGTTTAGCTGTTCCTGCAGCTTCTTCAGGTGAGAGCTGCTGTACTCTTTATGTTAAAGTGATGGAGCGGCTGCCTGACCGTGTAGAGAGGGGAAGATTCAGGTTCTGTACTTTCCTGTCTCCACCTGCAGTGCAGCCAAACTTCAGAGAAACTGCCTCAGCAGCATAACCAGTTAGACGGGGTGGCTGGTGGGAGGGACTTCCCAGTACTATTGGATAATTCAAAGAACGTAAGAATAGGAAAAGATTTTATGAAACTTAAGAACAAAGCTCCAATTTATATATATATATATATATATATATATATATATATATATATATATATATATATATATATATATATATATATATATATATATATATATATATATATATATATATATTTTTTATTTTTTCTGCAAAAGATGTAGGGGGCTGATTCAGGGCCCCCCTCTACCCTGGGCCTGGGACAACTGGCCCGGTTGTCCCCTTGTGTCGGCAGCCTTGCATACATACATAGATACATACATACATAGATAGTTCATAGATATATACAGGACATTTTCCATTTGTCAAGTAATGTGTTTCAGGTCCCCTATTGAAATTCTTCTTTGTTTTTTAGAAAAAGTATAATTTCTACAAAGGTCAATCATTTGTGCAAATATCAATTCATTACATTCATTAAATCCAGGGCGTTGTGATACGCTCATGTGTAGATGTGCTAACTGTGTGAAGTGCTTTGGAAGAATCTTTGTAAAAATAAGGGAATTATAATAGTGTTCCCTCTCTTTATGTTTCAAAGTTCCTGCTTAGACCTGCATATTTAAACTCTTTCCATCTGTTTCACAGTTTCTCTTTCACCAATAATACCGCAACATTAGATTTTGAAGAAAGATCGTACTTACAGAGCAGAACTTCGATAGCTGCTTCCTTCATTGCGGCTCTCAGGGTCTTGGACTGTTTTTGGTGTTATTTATGTAGACACAGAGTGAAACCCGCCCTCTTCCTGTGAGGGTCAGACTGTTTTAGGGTGCAAAAAGTTGTTCATAACTGGAACAGTAAGCTGATACAAAAACAACACAAATATGTTTCACTACAAAAACCAAAGACTTTAACTACCATTCCATAACACATTTAGCCTCCCTAAATGAGCTGCCAGCTATGTTTAAATAAAAACAAAACTCATTGTGGTTCAAAACAGAAGTTAGCCTTTTTTGCTTTCTGTGTAAAATGCTCAAGTGATAATGATAGTGGTTAAGGTAATAAGATGTATTGAAAATATATAGTCAGATAATCTTACTTTTCTTATCTTGTCCAGCAAAGGGGGCAGTTTATTCAAGAAAAGAAAAAGCTAGATTATGAACAGTAATATCCACACATCCTCAGGAAGAAAAAAAAATGGACACAGAATCCACCCATTCATAGGACGATGTAAACATGTGCTTGAAATGAATGAATGTATTTCTGATGCATGAACAAAAAACATAAAACGTTTTTTTTTGCATTTTGAGCTTCACTGCATTTGTGTGGGCCTTTAAGACTCCTCTGACTTGAATTAATGGAAAATTGGTTTTGTATTGGAAATGATTTACATCAATCATATTTCTCTCTTGTTTTGGCACGTGAAAAAACGTATGCTAGATGGGCAACATTTCACTTATCATAAGCCAGTCACAAAAACGTTGTGATGCAGCACTATGCAGTATGGGGACATGTCGACCAATGAGTTGACACAGGTGAAACCTCACATAGGGCAAGGGAAACCAAACATATTTAGCTATTTGTCACTTTGTTATGAGATGTTGTAATGTCAAATAATTTCAGCATGCAGCATTAGTTTACTGGTATAGCAAGCAAGCTGTGTTATTGCATTTAGATTAAGGTGACTAAAAAACCAAAATATCCAATCACTTTAAACTCCATCTTATTGTATTGGAACCTAAAAATGCTGTATGTTTTTATACCCATGGTGCTACAGTTAAGCTTACTCACCTGAGCCATATATAAATGTTACTTGACTTAAAAGTTATATTGAACTGAGCCTATTTATTTCAACTCAGTTTATTTCAATATTGCCAAATAACACATTTACTGAAGGTACTTTACAGAGACAATTCATTCAAATCAGCCAGTCAGAGTTTTTAAAAATTTCTAGTGTCTCGCCCCGCTCATGGGAACTGACAAAAATGGGAGACAGACGAGCAGATTCAAATGAACAATAATTTATTTTCTCCCAATTATTCCATTGAAGAGCTGCTCAGCCATTCAAAGAGGAGTGTGTATCAATGCTGCCTGTTCCTGTCTGGTCTGGAGGCCAAATCAAGCAGAGAGAATGACTTACTGGATATCAGTATTTAACAGCCATCAGGTGCTTTCAATTAGCAGCTTCTCTACCTGCTTCCTGAAAAGAACAAAAATAACAAACTGTGAAATGGCGACACCTACTGGACAGTAGGGGATCATCACACTAGGAAAAAACAGCTGTTTGCATCATGTCAGTGACTTTGCAGGTTTCCCTCCTCCGCCCCTGTCCCACCTTGACGATTTAGACCAGCTTATGCCTGATATATGAAAAATCTGGGAAAAACTCTGGCATACGTTGGATAGGTTATGGATACGTTTTGTATAAGTTATGAGCATGCTAAAGCACACGGAAACACGCTGAAGCACGTTGACATACATCAACATACGGCAAATACGTTGGCGTCTGCCAGGGTATGCCATACATGGGCTATAAGTTACTGGTAAGTTATCTGATGTGTTGAAACGTTTCTCCAACTTCCAGCTACTGTATAATGGCGTATTGGCAGCGTTTTGGTATAAAAGCGGTTCACAGGAGGAAACCGTCAGTTCTCCTCCAGACTTCATGGTAAGCGGACATTTTTCAAGAGATGGAGGGTCCGGCAAGGCTAAGACGGGAATACATACTAGCTGTCCTCCATCATCAGCATAATCTCATGAATTTGACTCTGTTTCAGTTGTAGAGTGAGCGTTTAGGTTATTGTGATGGATCCTCCCTGCATCCTCGGCCAGGACTATGACCACGGCGAACAAACTTCCTAGCAGACATGATGCTGAATCTGCTATGAATGCAGGCCTTCTTTCATTCTTTTTTCTTTTATCTTGTTTATTTATTTATTCAGCTTTTTTGTGTTTTTTTGGTATGCGGTAAACAGCAGCTAGTTAAGCAGCAGGGGTCATCGCTGCCCCACTCAGGACACTGGCTTTACTGGGCATTACGCTACTGTGTTTTATGCATAAGTTAGGCTGTCGCACATAAGTTTTGGATTCGTTATGAATACGCCCAAAATTGAAAAAAATTTATAGAAAGTTCAGCATATGGCAGCATTCAGGCATACGCTGGCTTAATTATATATTAACATACTCATGTTTCCAAGCAGTTTCATGCTTGGAAACATGCAAATGGAAACCGATGAGTGGGTCGTTGGGTTAGCCTGTAATACCTGAAACCTGTCTATGATTTTTAAGGGTCGGTCGTTAAGGAGGTACTGTTCACCGGTTGAAGAGGGGAGGTACATGGGGAGGGGAGTCCAGTGGATTGTTTTTTAAAACTTTTACGGAATGACTATGACCTGGATGACTGAGAATCTTCACCAGCATACAAAGGAAAATAATATAATTTCTATACAAAAGGGGAACTTTAAAGTTATTTTTTAATGTTCGCACGCTTGTAAATATTTACTCTAAAACTACCACAGCAAGACCCGAAGTACTAATCTCAATTGACGCTGAAAAATAATTTGACCGGGTTGAATGGGACTTTTTATTCACTGTACTAAAGAAATTTGGACTCGGCAATGTGCTCATTCCGTTGATACGTCTACCTTATGCACCTCCACAAGCAAATGTCTTTACTAATGGCATCCAGTCTAGCTTTTTCACTCTATCCTGTGGCACAAGACAAGGTTGTTCATTGTTTGCACTAGCTTTAGAGTCCTTGTCAATTTATTTGAGATCCTCCTCTACTTTTACTGCTATTGCACGATTGGCACAGAATTAAAGTTGTCATTTTAGGCTGGCTTTAGGTTTCTTGGGATAAACATTTCCACATGTTAAATTGTATTTTTTCCGCTAATATCTCACCTTTAATGATGTTAGGTTTATTATTTATACATTATGTGCATTGTTATTCTGTTAGCCAGATTAGACAGAGCAGAAGGCATTCCTTCACATTGTGGATGTTACTGTGTGTACGGAGGTCATCTAATCAAGACAGCCTAAGTGTCTTTAAGAGTACACAGAATATGGGCACATCTTGGAGCCGGTCTGATAGAGGATAGCTACCTGTAACCCTGAGGCATAGAAGCAAGCTGCATATGGGTCAGGGTATTGATGGCGTGTCACTTTCTGATACGGACAGCTAAGCATTCACATGCTGCAACCCATAGACTCATGAGCTATAAGAAGCAGGTGATGACGTTGTTCGGGGCTCAAACTTTGCCGGACGCTCGCGGATGTGATTTTTGAGACCACAGCTGTGCAAGCTCTAAGCATTTTTCTCTGTCCTGTAACGACCTGATCTGGAATTAACTCTGTTACTTTTTTACTCCTGTTTTATAGTCCTTTTTTATGTTTTTACCCAGTTTGAGTTAAGAGTAGTAAATAACTTGCTCCCAGGAAAAGAACCGTGAGGAAGCCCCCGAGGCACAACGGCTTTTTTAGGGGACATAACTTCCTCATTTTAACCTTTAATCAAAATGAAAATAGACCTACATAAATGGATAAGTCTTCCAATCTCATTAATAGGAAGGATTAACACAGTTAAGATGAACTTTTGCCCAAATTCCTTTTTTTGTTTGTTTCATTGTCTTCCAATTTTCCCTCCAAAACAGTTTTTCAAAACAATTGATCAAACTATCTTTGATTTCCTATGGTGTAAAGGCTCCCGGGATCCGCAAATCCATACCTTAAATATGTAAATTCAATGGAGGATTGACCTTTCCAAATTTCTAATTGTATTATTGGGCGGCACATATTCAGAAAATTTCATTCTGGTTCATTTTAGGACTCTGCCGTGGTGAGACTTGTAGGCTCACTCGTGCATCATCATCCTTAATTGCCCTGCTTACATTTTCTATTTCATCCAACCTTTCTGGTTTTACAAATAATTTAGTGGTTCTTTCCACACTTAGAATTTGGTATCAGTTTAGGAGGAAATTCAAATTTAAGTCAGCATCTACTTTAACTCCTAAACTAAAGAATCATTTATTTCAACCTCCATTAATAGATATAAAATAGAAAATCCCTTTATTGTCCCACAATGGGGAAACTGGGAAATATAGATCAAACTTTCCCAGCCTGGCATAATTAATGCCTGAAATGTTTTAAGGAGTTTTACAAGCATGGGAGCTGTTAAACTATGACCTACTTGAAAAATTTACTTATTTCTAAAATTTATAATGAACTGCTGTCTTTTGACTGCTTGCCAATAACTAACGTTAGGGATGCCTGGAATGAGGAACTGGACTTAAACCTGGAGGATGACTGACGGGATGCTGCTCATAACAAAATTCATACAGGCTCATTCTGCACCCGTCTTAGACTTACACAATTTATGTATATTTATCCCATATGTTTTATTCTTGTCCAATACTTTCTTGCTTGCTGGTTGAATTACTTTGATACCATGTCAAATATACTTTGTTTTGGTTATAAAAGCCTCCCCCCAAACAGGAAAAATATAATGCAACCATTTCTGGCATTTATGTAATCATATTTAGTTACTTTAACACAGTTGTTTTATGTTAGCAGGTTAGGACATAAAATAATTGTGTTGAATTAACTAAATATGATTAAGTAAATGCTAAAAAGGGTTGCATTATTTTTTTTTCAGCGCACGTTGCTATATTTGGGCTATCCGAGAACCATAACCAGTTTGCCTCTAACCAATCAGATATTTTAGCATTTACTTAATTTCTGGCAAGAGAGTAGAGTACTTTCCGTGCC